GAGAGAGAGAGAGAGAGAGAAAGAGAGAGGGGGAGAGAGAGAGAGAGAGACAGTCGCTTATTACCTTGAACTCGTAAGATTCCTCAATGATAACTTCGAGTTTGGCGTTTTCTCCCAAACTGGGGTATCCCATTTTGGCAATTTTTTCCCGCTCTCCTGCAGGCAGCTGATTCTCGTTGGTGTCACCTAGGACGGGATGAGGAAAAAGAGATCGGCGTTGTAAAGGCCTAGGAGAAAGACCTTGAGCAACGGAGGAAAAAGATGCCGTTTAGGGAACTGGATAGATAAGAGACCACGTAGCCCTCAGCTACACAACGGGGTGGAGAGAAAGTAGACTCAAAGGGGCTCTCTCTAACTTCTCCCGATTTAAGTGAAAACTGGAAGGGGAATTTCTTCCTTTTTCCTCTTCCTATCCTTACCGTGCCGGAGTCCGATGTCCAAAATAACCGGGGGTCCCAATTCCAGGTAAAAATTCTTATTTTTTTCATACTCCTCATCGTCGATGATTTTTATCTCGATGTATCTTCTAAGAGAGGGAGAAAGAAAACCAGGTCAAACTCAAACTCCAACATCGACAAAGGTAGGCAGGACAAATTCTTAATACCTCAGCCCCCAAATGCTTCCAACTTTCTTCTACATTTTCCCGCTTTCTGGGGGGGAAAAAACCCACAAGTTTTTCCAGTGCTTTGACTTAACGGCAAAGAATTTGCCCATCATACAAAACCACAGGTAATCTTCGACCTACAACCATTTATGAGGTTGCGATCATTCAAAGTTACAATGGTGCTGAAACAGCAACTTAAGGGCCAGTCCTCACACTTACGACTTTGCAGCATTCACCCATGGCCATGTGATCCAAATTGAGGCAACTGGCTTGATCACCATTTGGGATCTTCCTGGTTGGCTACTGACCATCAAAGTCAGCGGGCGAAGACAGTTTCACTTAACATGAACACAATTCACTTAACACAAACATGATTCACTTAACACAAATATGATTCACTTAACACAAATATGATTCACGCAACACAAACACGATTCACTTAACATGAACACAATTCACTTAACATAAACATGATTCGCTCAACACAAACATGATTCGCTTAACACGAACACAATTCGCTTAACACAAACACGATTCACTTAACATAAACATGATTCGCTTAACACAAACGTGATTCGCTTAACACAAACACGATTCGCTTAACACAACTCGATTTGCTTAATAACTGTGCCGATTTGCTTAACAACCCGGGCAAACCATTCCACCGGGCCCAACTCACTTAGTCACTGCCTTGCTTAGTAACGGACATTCAGATCCCCATTGCAGTCGTAAGTCGAGACCACTTGTACATCACCCTGCGGTTATAAACAAACCGCCGTCCCGTGCTGATAATAATTTATCTGTGTTTTTCCCTGCGTGGCCTCCAGGTTAATGTGAAGAAAATAAGTTTCTGAGTTTATTCTATTTTATTTTTTTTCCCCTACATTCTCCGGAGGCCATGGAGTTTTACTCCAGTTCCAAGGCGTAAACATCTGTCGGCAGCCATTTCAGGGCCACACTTCGAAGAGATGACAAGGCAGGCAGTTGTCTCCTGGGGTCCTTTCCGATGAGCAAGGAAAATAAAATATATGGATAGCCTAAGAGGATTGAGATATGCAGGGAATTTATAGCCAGGACCTCCAGTCACAGCAGCCCTGCTCAACCCTTCTGGGCTGCCAAAACCTCTGGAAAAACAGTTCTAAAATCAGTTTATAGATAAGTTTAAATGCGCAGGGGGGCTTCTGTGCAACTAGACTGTTAAGTTAATCCTTGACTTACAACCACAATTGAGGGCAAAATTTCTCTTGCTAAGCAAAACAGTTTCCCCTCCTGTTTTACGACATTTCTTGCCCCTGTTGTTAAACATATAAGTCACTGTTTTTCCAGTGTTACTGTAACTTTGAACCGTCTCTAAATGAACAGTTGTAAGTTGGGGACTGCCTGCCGATCAAATCTGAGAAAAGGATATTAGGAATGGTACCTGAAGGTTACAGCAAAGAAAAAAAACGTATTTAATGTATTAACAGCAGCTAGAATTGGTTTTGCTCAGAATTGGGAAAGTAATAAGATACCGATAGAGGGAAAATAATTGAGAAAATATTTGAATGTGCAGGAATGAATAGACTAACACTGGCAATCAAAGAAAAAGAAGAAACAGAATATTATATGGTATGGGATTTATTTTATCAATGGTTAGAAAATAAAACAACTATGTGGATTAGATGACTATATAAAGTAATAAGATAAGATTGTCAAAAATGATAAGATCTATGGGATGACACTTATAAGAAAATGGGATTATTGTCATATTGATAAGAAAAGTATTCGTTATAACTGTAAGCACAAAAATTTGTACCTAATCGACACACGGTTGAAATGGAATGGTATTATTGTAAACCATAAATTAAAAAACTTTTTTGGGGAAAAAAAATATGAGAAAAGGAAAATCACTCCGTTTTTTCACTCTCCGCCCAGACTCCACAAAGCACATTTTTAAAATTATTACTTTATATATATATATATATTTTTTTTTTCCTCCTGTCTTTATGTTATTTTTTCTCTCGTAAAGGACATCAAAAGATACAGAAAACTCCTTCTGGTCTGCCAAAACAAACCCAAACTAGGTTAAAGGAGGGGGAGGAAAGGGCTTATTTTTGATGGCTGGGGCTGCATCTGTTGTCCTGTTGCCTGTTTTAAACTTTCTGCGCGTCCTCAGACACGTCTGGCACCTACCCCTGGCTCTTCCCATGTGCCAGGACGGGCCCCGTTGTGTTTCACACCCTCTCTTTCTCGCTCTGGGCTGGCTTGTGTGTCTCTCCCTCCCTCTCCCTGTGTTCTCACACCGTCCTGTTGACCCAACTTGGCACCCGCCCCTGCTCTCGCCAATTAGGTCAATCTCTTTGTCAAATTCAGAGGCTGAGCGAGGTGATGCTTGGCAGAGGGAAGGTTGAACGTTTTCAGAAATTAACGCCACGTGTCAGAGGCTGGAGGGGTGGAGAGGCTGGGTTGGTCGAAGGGAGCAGGAGAGCGGGAAGCGGTTTGAGACGGGGAGACAGTCTCTCGAAACAGTGGCTTCTGCTGTTTTTGTTTAAAACGGTTGTGTCTCTTTTAGCATGAAAGGATGGTACCCCTGAGCATTGAGGAAAGTGCCACGAATATGAACTAACTCTTGGGTCCCCCTTGCATATTTTTAATAACAGGCTATAGCATCAACACTAAATATGATTTTAATAAGGAGATCTATCTATCTATCTATCTATCTATCTATCTATCTATCTATCTATCATCTATCTATCTATCATCTATCTATCTATCTATCTATCTATCTATCTATCTATCTAATCTAACATCTATCTTATTCTACCCATCAATCTTATTCAATCATTCTCTCTCTCATTTTATCTATCTATCTATCTATCTATCTATCTATCTATCTATCTATCTATCTATCATTCTAAATTATTCTATCAAATTTTATTATTCTATAATTTATTTTATTTTATTCTCTCTCATATCTCTATCAAGCTATCATATTCCATCTATCTCATTCTATCTATTAATCTATCTTGTTTTATTTATCTCATCTTGTCTGTCTCTTTATCCATTCCATTCAATTTATCTCATTTTATCTTTCAATCTAACTCATTCTAACATTCTATCATCTATCATCTCTTCTCTCTGTCTCTGTCTGTCCATCCACCCATCCATCCATCAGAGGGGGTATCTATCCATCTGTCTCTCTCTCCTTCCTCCCTTCCTATCTACCTGTCTACCATCCATCCATCCATCCATCCATCCATCCATCCATCCATCCATCTCATCCATCCATCTATCCCATCCATCATCTATCTATCTATCTATCTATCTATCTATC